AGCCTCTCCAACTACATCCATCACCTTTGAGTCAATGTCCATTTTGTGGACGGCGTAGGACTTCTGCAGATGGCTGCGGGCCTGGCTCTGCAGTCCCGCCAGGTGGTTCTCAAAGTAGCTCTGCAGCTCGCCCTGCAGGCCCTGGAAGGAAACCTGTTTGACGGTGTCTGAGAGGAGGCCGTACTGGGCCTTCACCACATCCATCTGCTCATACATTCGCCGCTGCTGGTCCAGGATCTCCCTCTGCTGGGACAGTAGCGCCTCCTGTTGGTCTGCGAGCTTCTGCTGCAGGTCGCGGATGACCACCTGCTGGGCTTGCAGGGCCTCCACCAGCTTCTCCTGCCCCTTGGCCAGCTGGAGGTGCAATATGAGGGCATCTTCTGAGGGAACTTCATTCTCCCCTGAGAGGAAATAATGCAGAATGAAAGATGGGATCAGACAGACATGTTGTTAATGTTAAACACTGCAGTGGAGGAAGTGATTAAACGAGATTAAGACTGACACCCAATGACCCCATTCTATTGGTCTAGCCATGGCAAGTAAAGTATTTCTGTACAATGAAAGTTTCCTATACATGGACCAACATCAAAGCACTCTACATTTTCTGGACAATTGACTCTGAGACATTTTTCCAGTCCAGTTGCTCTAGTTGCTCTGCAGATATCATTTTGGGCTGAAGGTCAACAATGTCTTTCTTTTTCTTTTGGACACCTTAATCCTCCTTTTGCAGATCATTGGTGGGGAAAATAAAGTTAAATTCAAACAGAGTATTATGTATTTGGTTAAATTAGTTAATTTAGAGGTTTACTGCTTTCGGCTAGAGATAATAATTCATCAACTTTTTTGAAGATCACTCAACCAGAAATGTCTCACAGTGGTTAGACCGGTGCGCAATTGTGCGGGAAGGAAGTTAATCAGCCTCTAATAATCTAAACACAACAGTTAATTTTAAGATGACAATGATGATGATGATGATGATGATACCAGACCTGGTTTGATGTCACATGTGAGCTGGACACCCAAAGGCGCGCCGCCAAGTTCCGGCGACGGATATCCAAGCTCCGGAAAATCTCCCAGAAACTGTGCGGCTCTATCGGACAGATGGACAGGAGGAAGCTGGCTGGCGGCGGCAGAGGAGACGCTCTCCTCTGAACCGACCAGACATCCCTCTCCCACACAAGACTTTGCTCGAGGTTTTGGCCGTATCCTCAGCGGCAGTCTGCACTCGATCCCTCTACAGTCTCGGGTGTCATTGGTGGGCTGAAATTGTTTCACAGGAGGGGCGCATTCCACATCGGTGCACCCTGCAGGTGAAACTTCATGCGCTCTTATCCGTGTGCCGCCGCTGCTGGTGTCACCGTGCCGCCCGCGAAGTGGCTGGACAGCCGAGTAGGCTTCCGATGCTGCTCTTGGAGAGCTCGGGTACGCATGGTGTTGGCTGGCAACTATCTGCGCCGCTCTCCCGTGCGTTGTCGGGTTAAACTGCCGCGGCGGTCTGGAGGATCTGCTCCCCGGACAGTGCGCTCCGGTGCACGGTCTTGGATCGCCGGTTTCTGCGCCGTAGCAGTGCGTCCCCCGGCAAATCTCTGCGACAGCTTGCAGTGATACCCAAGACAGCAGCAGCAACACCACTGGTGTTACTAAAACCATTTTGCGTCAGCTATATTCCTCTTTCACCCCCCTGCAAAAGAAGAAACATCTGCGTTACGCTTTCTACTGCCAAATGATAAATCTGGAAAAATCTTAAAATCTCCAAAACTGTTCAGCAAACCGTCCATCACTGATCTGCTCCTTTAAGATTAAAGCCCTCTCTGTCACTACTAGAAACAAACTTTATCATGCTTGACACAGAGACTCTTGATCTGCAGTTCTTGACAGAACATTACCTTCAGCTCCAGGCTTTGGTGAGACTGGCTTTCCCCGACTGTCAGTAAGGAATAAAAACATTAAACACACGCATTACTGCTGGCTCTCTTCATGCCTGACCCACTCTGAGGGCTTCTGCACTACAATGTCAGTATGTGGCATTCCTAAGACTTAATTAGCATCAGGTTTCCCCGGCCACAAATTAACCCTTCACCTTCCCTGTTCTCCATACAGGAATTCCCCACTGAGGAGAATGAAGGCAGAAAGGAACATTTTCTCAATCACAACATAAAAATATTGGCTCCCATTTCCATGTTAAAAGAAAAAACAAAGGGGAAATTTTCTTCACGCATTGCCAAAGTTATGTTCTCCAGTCCTGTCATCCTTTTTCCTGGTGACTGCCGCTTTTCATTTCGCTCACTGTTGACTTTCCTATGACCTTATGGCCATCCAAGTTGCAAAAAGTGGCAGTGTTTTTTGTTTAGCACATCCTGAATGTTGAGACAGCTGCTGGTCCTCAACCCAGTGTCCTTCACTTTATACTGGCCTTGTCAACACTGAGCACCCCTCTTTATAGACAGAGCCAACAGAGGTCAGACTTTTGTTGAAGGGACCTATGGCAGAAGTCAGGAATGTGAAACCCACAGCTGGTTTTTGGACCTCGTCCTATACTCTCATTTTAGTGTTTCAGCACAACCACTGTGGGAGGTTATCTGAGGCTGATGTGTGGTGGGATGTTTGTAGTTTGGCAGGTTCTGATGTAATTTCCTGATTATTTCAAGGTTAGGTACGTATGGAAGCCCATTTTTGCCAAGAAAAGACAAAGAGGATGAAAAATTAGACCATATTACACATAAAGTTACAAGTCAGAAATGTTCTCATAACTCTCTTAACTAAATTTGTCTTAGTATCTCATAATGTTTACTTAAAACACAACAATTCTTATTATTAGGTGATTATACACTAATTAAAAAATCTGTTTTATCTCACAATTTTGGCTTAGCATTTTATAAGACTTAATAGCTCACCATTTTGACTACATCAGTTTGACCCATTATCTTAAAAATTTTGATATACCATGCATTTTTATTATTATCTTTTCATCTTGTTTTTTTACCTGGCAGAAATGGGCCTCCATAGACAGCCTAGTTAGATTCAGATGAATAAAAACAAATCTTATTTCTTTGTTGGATTCTGCAAGTCAGTCTTGCCAAACAGAGCAGGGGCTGTTTGGAAACTTAAATTAATTGCATACTAGTGTAAACATTTAGAGTTGATCAGTGCACTACAAATAAAAAAAGAAGTGCATGTTGGTAGCATGAACTGCTCTGCACCACCCACTGAGTTCAGAAGTGTTTGGCATATACAGTACAGCAGAGTACAAACAGAGGGCACTACAACACTCCTATATGCATCACTTTTCACATCATCATAGTGACTGATTGTCCTTTGCTGTACTACATTTGACAAATGCTTTATCGTTTTGCGAGGTGCCCACTGGTTTTGTCATTATCACCCCGTTTCTTTTAGTGCAGGAAAGCCCAAGAGAGTTATTTGGAGGTGTGCTGGAGCACTTAGATTTAACATGATGCCTACTAATGGCTTAAAAGTATGCCCTCACTTACACCTCACACCTTACCATCTGGGGTTCTGCAATACTTTAAAACCAAAACACTGCTCTTTGTCAAGTAGGGCTCTGTTTTGCAACCTGTAAAGGCTTAAATTACACCTCCTACTTTATTTAAATTGCACAAACATTGATAAACGGACAGTAAAATAACAATTCTCTACAGTTTCTTCTATCCATGCCGTGATGTATGAGCTGAAGCATACAGGGGCAGAAACCATTATAAGTATCCACTCTGTTGGACCACCCTCAGTGACTGAAATGTGACTGCAAAGACACAACAAAGCAGAAAAATCGCCTCTCTCTTTGCTGCCGAGCTCCACAGCAGTTATTCAGTGTGTATCTATTTGAGAAATGTCCTCTGAGGCACCAGCGTGCTGGTGTTTAGGAGAAGCTTGCAGCTAATGAGAGGCTGCCTTTGGCGTCCATCTGTTTGTCAACCCCTGAGAGAGGGAGGAAATGAGTGGTGGTTGGGACACATGCCTGTACCCCGAGAGTTTGTTTAATACATCACCAGTCACAAAAGACTCTTGGATGAGTTCAAGGTTATTTGGTTTCCCCCCATGGTGTTCAGCTTCTCTGTGTGATGACAGGATTTTGCCACAGAGAGGGTGGTCCGTCTTTCCCATTGGAGCCGAGGCTGGTCTTTGGGGGAAAATAGGGCACAGAAGTGCTAATAATAGCAAAATAATACAAATGGAAACTAGTATTTTCCCCTTTAAACAGATGAATGAATTGAAATTGAGGGTAGCAATGGGGGGAAGTTAATAGAAGCATAATAATGGAGCTTCTGTGAGATGAGATTAAAAAAGAAGATGTGGAATCTTGTTTTTTGGCCTCCCAGGTTGAGTCAAGGAGAAATGCAAATAAATAGAGCTATCTGTGTCTGCATGGTCAGATAAGAGCCAGAGGCTATTCATAGCTTGACAGTTTGACTGTCCTTGTTCCCCCTGAAGATAACTGACCTTGTTGCAACACACCAGTGTCTTAAGATATTCCTTCCTGATTTTAAGTGTCAAGTGTAAGTGAAAGCAATTTCTGTAGGTCTAATTTCATTCGATTGTCTAGACTGACACTGTTTGAACTTTATTTTAAAGTTGTACAGCAAATAATTCTGAATATACGGCTCTGTCGAGAGGTAACACTGTATTTTTCAGGAGAATTTAGATCAATGGAGCTCAACTGGAGTCTAGTATCCTTCATTGTTATGATCTGCCACATTACCACTCCTGCCTAAAGACCTGCTGTAAATCAATTTCAGTGAGGTGAATTATTAACTGAGACCGTCGCATTCCTTGTGCTGATTCAGCCGTTCCCTCGAACCCACAGAGAGCTTTTTTATATTTCTTCCAAAAAAACTTCATTATTTGCTCAAGTAGTTGTCAATCAGCACCGTGATTGAAAGTCACAGCAAGTTTTCTTCTGGTCTGTCCATGTTTGTCACGCTTTGAAACAGTTGCAGTGCAGTTCAGATAAGGAGGCTGTTAAGGGGGACGGCCCAGTGCTGCTCAGACAAGACTATTGTGAAAGTATTGAGCTCTTAGCTGGAATGCAGTGACAGGTCTGGACCTGAACTTCCGCATTAAGCAGGAAGAGTCATAGAGCCAGATGCAATCTACATCAGCACACCAAAATCTGACTGTATATAAGTGTTTTTCGGTGTATTAGAGAATAACAATTTGAGGTGGAACCGATCTCCATGAAGCTATCTTGAAACTAACTGGTTAAACAAGGATTAATACAACTGAAAAGGTGAGTTACATCTCTGTTAAGTTGGATGTTGTACCTTGGGTTAACGGTGAACACCCATGGCTGCGATCCTCTAAACATACGTGGCTTTTATTGTGTGAATGAAGCTTTGTTGTCGATTGCATTTAACTGAGAGACAGAACACAGAGTGAAAATCTTAGACATTCTGTCAAATTTTATGATTTAAAAGCCTCCTCCTTGATACTGACTTTTAAAAGTAGTCAAATTACTTGTTACTGTAATAGTTAATAAATAAAATTACACTTGTCACCCAAGATATTTTTGTACACATTAGATAAGGCTTAATTAGGTTGCTGTACAGTGATATGGTAGTCATTAGGCACATTTTAATACGATGAAAAGGGTGTTTGTTCATTTTGGGAACATTTTGTACATTTGGGTTAGGGTTAGGGAGATAAGATTATCACAGATAATCACAGAAAAATTGACTGAATTACTGCATAGCAAGTGTGAATTTGGAATAATGGCGTAAAAACCATGTAGTTGACAGGGTGTGTTCTGTCTTTGACTGCTGTCAAGCCAGTAAACACTGCAATGTGTGTTTAGTCAGACTGTGCAATGACTCATGTGCAGCAGGGATTTTATGTTAAAAAAAATGTTGAGGGATTTTTCTTTCTCCCATGGAAATGAGTGTCCATGTTTGAGTTTTACAAAAGCGCAAACTGTCTTCAGCATCTTGCGTATTGTTCAATGTTAGTTATGATTCCTTGTTTTCATGCCCTTTGGTGCTTTGTTTAATTTCCCTACTTTACACCAGAGTACAACCAGTTGTAGGCCCGAGTATAGCTATTTGATCCAAGTAAGGGAGGGAGTTTCTTTACATCATGGTAAACACGCTGTGCTTCGATACGGCCACTTATAGTTGTTGTCTGGTTTCCATTTTCTCGCCTGAAACTTGGGTTGCACATGTGTGGAAAGGCTGAAACACATATTTGAAATTATTTAGGAGGTAAACGTTTTCTGGGGGAATATAGAATTCACTTGCAAGGTATATTTTTGTCTTTTTTATTTCTTTGAATACCAGAAATACAGTGGTGTGTTTTCAAAATACATTGTGCAGGTTTGGAAGGGCGCCAGATTTCATGACTGAGTGTTTCCAATAATATTTGTGAATGCTGACAAATCACATATTTTCAGAGTGGTTTCTGAAAAGAAAATAGAAATGGTGCAAAGAGCCAGCGACATACTTTTATGATTGTATTCTTTCATGCTGTAACACTGTCCAAAGTAATTTGAATATATATCGTAAGTTCACAAATACAAACTTTGTTGCAGACTAAATGCAGTTATTGAAGGGAAATAAAATTATCCCATTATTCTCAGCATCTTACCTTACAGAGGACAATCTACAGTTGTCATCAGTCCATCCTTTGTAGAAACATGTTCGATTAAAATGGAAAACTGAGCTCACTTCAGAGCACTTTATGCATCAGTAATGGTTCTTTAAAATAGTGTTAGTCATGCCAAACATTCTCTTCCAACTATGAAGGTTTTCCAGTATTACTGATAAAAATCTTTTGCATGATTTCACAACAGATCCATGTCAACCCTTGAGCCAAAGATTTGCCTATTTGCCTTCTTGCTAAAGTTTCAGTGAGAAGATTGATACCATCTCATTTCTGTCCTATAAATACAAAGCTGGAGCCAGCAGACAGTTAGCCTAGCTTAGCATACAAACTGAAAACCAAGGGGAAAACATCCACTTACAGTACTAGTCATCTTAAGCTGACTAGTTTATTTTGTATACAAACTGAATTTGTTACCTTAAAACAGACCTAATCTAGCTGTTTCTCTGTGTTTCCAGTTTGTATGCTATGCTAAGCTAATCTGCTGCTGGCTGTAGCTTTATATTTAACACGAGACACATGAGAGTGGTATCAATCTTCTCATCTAAGTCTCAGCAAAGTGAATATATGTATTTCCCAAAATATCAAACAAGTCCTTTAAGTATGTCCAAGTATGTGTTATATTTGTAATGTCACACCTATAAAGCAGCTGAATGAAAAAAAGGTGTAATACTTCCTTAAGTTCACTTTGCTATTTTATTATGATATGAATTCAATCATCAGCGTGTGGAAGACGTGACTACATTTTGCCTCCATCAGCAGAAGCCTGGTTTTTGAGTTGGGAGCACTCCATTTAATGCATTTGGCCTCCAAAAGTAGCTGCCAGGAGCAATCTGACTGACACAAATCTTTTCCTTGTGACTTTTGTAAAAATACACATTGAAAATGGCATCGGCCGCTCACGTGTTCTGTGTGGTTGTTAGTGAGCAAAAGATCTGACGTGGGTGCAAATCATACTGTGGCTGTTACAGCGAGGTCTGTTGTGCTGTGGTTTTCATAACACTAAATAAAATGTGATACCATTATACAACGGAGAGAAGAGGAAATTAAAATAATTAAGGAGTGAAAATAATATATATTTTTTAATAATAAGAACATGTGCTTTTGTATTTCATATCAACTTAGTTGCTTAACTTTCTGTTTTGTTTAGCCATTATGTAGAGTAATACATACGTAAACATAATGTGGGGGGAGAAAACAGTAGCGTTAAGTTTGCAGCTGGCTGTGCCTGTCACCATTTCCTATACAATTTCAAAATTGCTAGTGGCAGGAAATAACCCTTTACCACTTCCTGGGCAGACCATGTAAAGGGGTGGAGGAGTGGCCCCAAATGCTTTAGAAAGACGTTTAGAAAGACCCACATATACACCTCACATGGAAATTATTGATACTGATATACATGTAGTCATTATGGAAAACACTACCATCACACCCAAGTTTTTATCTATACATCAAGAAATCAGAACATGCACCGTTTCTCAGCGGCTTTAATGCGTCATCTGTTAGATGTTCATCCATTTCACATTTGAATTAGAAACATGATGTCACAGTACTATGAACTCTTGCCTGGAACACAATCAATCACTTTTGTCTCCTCCAGTGTGACAAAGGGTTTCCCCCGAGTGTGAGAGTTCACTGAACAGATCCCAGAAGTGAAAGCAGTTACACTTTGTTTCAGACAATATTTTCATATCTAATTTACCATACCGGCAGAAAAAACAGAGAGAGAAAAGCTCTTTGGGGTTAAACCCAATAAGAGGAAGGGGTGGGCGGATCTTTTTTTCTATAGTGGTGCTTATAAAAAAACAATGGGAGTGTGAAAGAGTGTGTAGCTGCTATAAGGTCTGTTTAAGGTGTGCAGAAGTGACATAGATTGTTACTCTAACTTTAACCACACTAAACTTTTACATAACCATACCTATCCCATTATATCACCTTAGTTTAGTCTGCAAAAACAAAAAATGTTTGTTACCTTTAGACAGAGGTAGGCCAACTGTTTCTCTGTGTTTCAAGTCTTTATGCTAAGCTAATCTGCTGCTGGCTGTAGCTTTATATTTAACAGAGAGGCTTGAGAGTGGTATCAATCTTCTCATCTAACTCTCAACAAAGCAAATATGCATATTTATCAAGATGCCAAACTAGTCATTTAAGTACAACCCATTGGCTATTCTTAGTTATTTTTGTCACACCCTTCCTGTGGTTCCTCTTTGTGTTTTATTTGTAAGGTCACACTTATAAGGTGAAAAATGTGATAACCTTTTTAAAAGTAATACTTCCTTAAGTTTACTTTGCCATTTGATTAAGATAACAATACAATTTTAGGGTCTGACCAAAGCTACACTCACCCTCTCTGTTTAATGCCTGTAATAAAAATGAAAAACTTTTTTGTTGTAGGTTTAGTGGCTAACACCAGAGATGCCTATAAAAACCAACGGGTAAAGAGTGTAAAGCCACTTTAAGGTCTGATTGAAGTGTGCAGAAGTCATTGCCCCATATATTATTACTATAACTTTAACCTCACCAGACAAGGTTCTCCACCTAGGTTAACAGGCCAGTTCTTACATCTTTGTGCCTCATAATATTTTAACATAATGGAACTCTACAGAGCGTCTACAGTCATGCTATAGGGCTGTACTGAGGCACAGTGGTGCTTTGAGCTAAATGCTAACATCAGCATGCCAACACAATCATAATTACAATACTAACAGAATGATATTTAGCAGGTAGTGTTTTTTCATGGTCAACTTAGTTTAGCATGTTAGCATGCACAAGACACAAAGTAAAGCTGAGGCTGATCATTTATTGGTCATAAGTATTGGACAAATTCTACTTTTGACCTGATGATTGGCAGTAGATCACAGTCATTAGGATACATCATCTGGCATAAATGTCTGTACTAATTTTTCATTCTAATCCATCAGGTTAACGTTGGATAAGAGAGACATTTCACTTCTTGGAGGCGCAAAAGGAAAGTTTAGAGGATCAGCAAAAGTCTTCTGGCAATCATAAATGCCTGTTCAGAAACTTGTTGTTGAGATTTCAGTATGGACCAAAATTGCCATCATAAAATAAAAAAGTAAGGAGGCAAAATTAAAGTCTGGTTTAGCCTACATTCCTCATTGTATTTAAAACATTTTTTATTTCTTATCCACAATTACTTTTTAGCCACAGAACCAGAGGCAGAAGGTGAAACTTTCAAACACTAGTCAGGCTATTATAGTGGTTATGGGGCTCATCACATTGCCCATACTTGACTGGTTCAGCAGTTACAGCAGCCATACTTTCAGGTGAAATGTGTTTAATCAGAATATTATACCCTTACTTCCTCAGTTATTAAGTGCACGCTTGACTATCAACATGCATTGGAGCTGTACAGTAGTTAAAATACAGAACATTACATTTCTGGAATTAGTAAACTGAATACCCCGTCTAAGAACTAATGTACTGTAACTGAATGAACTCTATCTGACACTATCTCACTACTGTTCATGTTCCACTGTAAGAAAACAGGGACTCTGTTTTGACTGCACATTCTAGCCCAACATAACATTTGCTTGGAGAAATGGGGATTCAAATAATACATGTGTGAGAGACAGCACATCGTACACAATTGCAGTTGGAAAATCTCAAGTGAATCTTCAGGAGTTGTTTTCTGGGAAAACAGAGCTACCCCAGTCATTACATGGGCTATTTTACTACTTAAGACATTGTGATATTTCATTCCATACATCTATGCCTGGGTTAAACTATATAAATGTAGCAGGGACCACAGTATACAAGCATGCATACTTTCTGTCAGTTCGTTTTTCGTCTTTACTGAGCCTGTTTCAGAGATCAATTTTTGTGGTCATGAAATAATCTAATCTTATTTAGTTAGCATACAGTCTTTGAAATGAATTGGTATTGCCATGCATAATGATGGAAACAAACTTTGTTCACTGTAATCATGAAATGTGAGCTCATGATTCAACACATAATGGTCTTAATCACATTATAGGACTGATTGCACTAGTGCTGTGAGTAGAACTGTTCCATTCAGTGTCAGTGAAGGGTTCAGAAACAGGAAGACTGCATTTATAAACATGTCAGAATTCGTCCAGTGAAAGAAACACTATAAAAACATATAATGGTCAGTCAATTTAAAAGTCATTTTTTCATTTGAGTCTGACAGAAAGGTTTAGCATGTGCAACAAGACACAACAAGTTCTGGTGAAAAATGAATGCCTGCGAGTTATGCATACATACTTTTCCTCCTTCAGTCTGGGTTGGAGATGTTTTGCGAGATAGGGAAGCCTCGAGGCACGTATAACAACTGCACACAGAGTAAAGTAGCAGTACTTGTCTTACCACGCTGGCTGTGTAACATGCATTTGTTTCTCCATGCAGATTGACTTTCGTCATGACAACCGCATCTAATCAATGAACATTCTTTGCTTTCTTGCAGCACAAATCAATACAGGTCATTGATACACAGGGTTCCCCAACAGTGGACAGTTTTAGTCTGATTTGTAAGTCATTCTGGGGTCTGACACTTCTGTTGTTACTTTAAACAGATGGACGACATTGACGCCATGTTCAGTGACCTGCTGGGGGAGATGGACCTCCTCACTCAGGTAAGTTAAGGCAGTTGTCATGGCAACTATAACACATAAAGTATGAAACTTTTTTCCTATTATTATCATTATGTTAATTTATTCCTTTTCAACCTATTTTGCATTTTGCAAATATGAACTAACAGTTTTGCAGGAATAAAAAACAGGCAAAAACAAACAAAGAAACAGCAAAAGAAAAGAATAGTTAAAAAAATACATTTGAAAATGGACAAATTAAAGGTGAAATAATAGACTAGAGTTGCACTATGGAGCAACATTAACATTCGCTTCTTGGTGTCACCTATTTTTATAGGCAAATAAAAATGTATTTGTAATAAGTAAGTCATTTTTTCAAATGCTTTTGTCTACAATTTAGGTAATTCTATTATTATTATTTAAGGCATACACAGCAGAAAATAAAACATTTTAAAGGAAAAAAAATTTAAATTGTACCATAGAAATGTAAGAGACTGTACACACCTTTCATGCAACACACATACTAAACACAACACATTCCCTCCAGTCGGCGTGTGGTTAATTCTCTCACCATATACCTTAAATAGACTTTTCTTCTTTAGAGACAGATGACAAACTCACTAAAACCCACCATCGATCACCGAGACACTCTACACTGACAAGCACAACAGACGCAGCGGGGGGAAACACTCTTTGTGGTCATCTAAAACCATAAATTACACTCTCTTTTAGAGGGGAGGTCAAATGGCAAACTCATAAGCAAGCTAAAGATTATGCATTTTTCTCTAAGTGAAAATCCCTGCTGATCACTTTGATGTTGTTTTCAAACCCACCAGTCATTTTAAGACACTTCCATCTCACCAAGGGGCTATAGAAGCCCTGTTAGGGGGTAGTACCTAAAAACAGATGTAACACTACACGCGTAAACATTATACCTTCTTACATAATGTTTGGGGACAGTTTATGTTTCAGTGCACTCAGAATGTGTTGTGGATTAACTCACTGAGCCTCTGGTGGTCTTGTGGCTGTACAGATTTTGTATTCATGCTCTTACAAACACACTGCCTTGTTTATTCTTGCCTGCAGAGTCTCGGTCAGGAAACAGTACCTCCTGCATCTCTCCCCAGCACCAACACAGAAGTCCACTTCCCCATTGGCTTCGGAGACCTGAATGGTGACTTAACATTTTGTCTTGTGTGTAGAAACACTACAGAGAGCTGGGTGTTGAACATGCACCCTGACTTACTACAACACTGCAATTGTGCAAGGGCAGGCTATATTGCGAGTTTCATCGATTATCTAGAAAATGATCAAGATAGCTTTGAGAGCTGGTATTGATTATTATTATTGATTATTCAGTTGCCCTGCAGTATATCTGGCTACTGTTCAAGAGTTGATTTCAGACGGAGATTGAGGTCACTGTACGTGCTAATTACTCATGCTCTTATGAACTGTAAAACAAGCAGGTTAATGTTAAAGCAAGGTTACAGCATCTGTTGTTATTAGGACTACTTTAAGTCTCCTTTTCCCTGTTGTCTTTAGTAGATATTTAATTATGTAGGCCTAGGCTACTTCACTTAATTTCTACTTAATTTTTAACTTAATTTACAATATTTTACTTTACAAAGACAAACCTAGCCTTCAACATAATGAGCTCAATGCTAACCTCAGCAAGCTATGCTGCTAATGACAATGCAAACATGCTAATGTTCAGCAAGTACTGTTTAACATGTATACCATTTTAGTTAAGCATGTAAGCAGGCTAACATTTGCTAATTAGCAGTTAACCGAGGGTACAGCTTTGACGGCACTAGGTGAAAAGTTAAGAAATCACCAATCATAATGAATCCTGAGCCGAAAATGAAAAGAGAGAAGGACAGAGAGAGAGACAAAGATGCACAGCAACAGTCTATACAACAACAATAGTTGTTAAATGAGTGTTATAAATGGTTAATTAATGGTTAAATAATGCTTTAGACCAGCCTATCATCAGCCTTTAATTTTCATGGAAGACAAAGAAAGAATGAGGAAGCAAATGAAAGAAATTCTTTCATTTAGTTTGTTTTGTATTGTGTAATAAAAACACAAAGAAAGGAACTTGTAAGAAATGAAAGTTCTTAATGTGTAGGGGGAAAGCACGTTACTTCGAAAAAGGAACTTTTTTTTTTTCTGAGCGACACATTTTTTAAAAAGTGTGTGCCGAGTGATCAAACATTTTAAAACAAAGTTAACACCTCAGATTTTTACTGCCTTCAAAAAGTTTTTAGCACTCTTTAATATTAATGCTATACCTGAGTCAATTCTTGACAGATAAACTAACTTTTTTCAAACATCAGCGTCCCTCCATGAACTGGAAGACAATGATTTGGATGCACTCATGGCTGATTTGGTGGCTGACCTCAATGCGACGGAAGAGAAACTTGCAGCAGAAATAGAAGGCTTGAAGGTGCCATCGCCGCCCCCAGCGGACCTACCGCCACCACCTAAGGGCCTGAGCATACAACCTGCCTCCTCCCTCGCTTCCCCAACATCACCCGCAAGAAGCACCAACAGCAATGTTAGCACCTCGGCCTCCTCCACCGCCTCTACTTTACCACCTCCGCCTCCTCAGTCCTCAAAGCCTTCAAAGGTGAGTCAGTGTCAGTCAAGAAAAGATAAGCATTTCTGCAAGTATATTTTAACCTCTCTACTGGGAACTGGTCAAAAATTTAAGAAGTGAGAGTTTTAATCAAGGCTTTTCAAAGTAATAGAGAGTTCATTTTGGTTGGTACAGTGTAAGTTATTGTGGAAACTTCTACAGTAATGGATAGAACATTTCTGTGCACTTTTAGGGTCTTAAAATATGATATGCAAGAGCAGGAACATGAAGCAAAAGGAGACAATAATGTCACAATCTCTGTTTTATTGGTGGCGTGTCTTGGTTTACCACGAGAAAGTGCTTTTTGAGCCATGCGTGACAAGACAGCATTACAACAAAAATATCACCAGTTCCCAGCATATAAATTTCTGGTGAGTCCTTTTTGTCTTTGTGCAACTGGGAAGAGTGGTATTCTCCTATAACAGTTAGGACGGTGAGATCATGGTGAAGCTGTTGCTGGACAGAGGCATCTGTTACAGTTACAGAGACTCGTGAGGCGAAACAGCAGAGAGTCTGTCTGGAACAGATCAAACACATACAGCCATGACGCAGGAAAGAGTAACAGAATCAATACCAAAGGTTAGAGAAGGGGAGGTAAGATGTGGCAGTGGTGGAGGGGAGGCGAAGCCAGACAGGAGCTTATTGCTTTAGCAGGGCTTGTTACCTCATCCTTCTGAGGTAAAAACACCAGCTGTGCTGAGGCAGAGAATGTGTCATTGTTAGGTAGAGGTGTACAAGTTCATTAAAACTGCACTGTAGGCAGGATTGTTATGTAAAAACACCTGACTTATAAGCCAAAGAAAAGGGTATCGTATCCCTGTTAATTGAGATCCAGTAGATTAGATGTAATGTCCCAAATTAAATTCTTTATCAGACACTCCAGTTATTAAATCAAAATAAAATGCTACAGCTCCTGAACAGCACTAAAGTGCTACATCCACAGAGATTAACGCGGCTAGATCTTTACCTCTCATTTATCTTTAGCACCATGTTTAAGCAATAGGTCAGCATTTTGACAGCTAGATGATAAGATTGATACCTTGACTGATACATGTATATACGGTAAATATGAAGCTACAGCCAGCCGCAGATTATCTTATTTTAGCTTAGCATAAAGGCTGGAAACCAGAGGAAACAGCAAACCTGGCTCTGTTCAAAGGTAACTATTTCCGCCTACCAGCAGCTCTAAAACTCACTATAGTAAACATGTTTAATCCATAGAAAAATTAAAGTATAAAAATGATAAGCAGTGGTTCTACGGATGGTTATGTGCCGGACTATTTCTTGGTTGGGGAGCAGTGACTTCCTGGACTTCCCCAGAACCTTACTGCTATTGGCCAAGAAATGAACTGCCCGTCATTTTTATGCTGTGGTTTTTGTATGGATTAAACAAATGAGATATAGATTATTAATTACTGAGCTGATTAATGACGCTATGATAGTATATATCCCACTTTTTGTATAGTATAACTAATGGTGGATGAACATTTATAATTCACTATAATAATCATTATATATTATTATTTTTCCTATTTAGGAGGAAATTGAGGCGCAGATGAAAGCTGACAAAATCAAGCTGGCTCTTGAGAAGCTCAAGGAAGCGAAAGTGAAAAAGGTAAGACGACCAAACATCCAAGTGTATACCTCTGATCTTACATCCGCTGGCAACAGTAAACTATAAAGACATTGTGAATTACGGCTACATGGACATCACTATAAAAGACCTAATGTTCAAACATTGTATGGCTCTTACTTTTCCTGTGGAAGAGCCATGAATCACAGTAATGAATGGCCACTCTCATCCAGCCAACATCCCACAGGACAGCACGGTTTCCTCTTTGGGTGATATGTGGACACTTTATCATCTTCAAAGCAGTCAACAAAAGCACAGACATGCAGTCTTGCATGCAAAGCTTCACATCAGGATCTTCAATTTTATACACAACCAAACCAGTTTCGTGCCAATTGCATACTTTCTTTTTATCATAGGGGATGTGATTGATAATATAAATGCCAAGTTCCACACTTACTGAGAAGTATTATGACTTATGACAGCAATAATGACCTGTTTCCCTGATGTTGTTTCTAAATCAGACCACTGGCCACAGGAACACAGGTCTCAGGGTTGTTAAATACAAAATAGCAAGGTGTACTCTCAGTGGTTTTCAGCAGGAACCACTGAAGGCCTTGAAGTTTCAGATAAACCCACTGCTTGCAGGGCATGCTCTCGACACAGATCATATATTTTGAGGACACCTAACTTGTATGTGGTAGTACTGTAATAGGAAAAATTGTTTGATACAGTGACATCTCATACAACCACATGCCATATTGCTTTCCAGGGCAGGTTGAGACCAAGTAACATGTGATCTAACACTCTAAATCCTCTTGCGATAACATCTTCGAAACCCACATTTTTATGACACAAGGCAAGCAACTGGCTGACCTTGGTCCTGTGAAACTCCTCAGCTTCCCAAAGCTGGATTTGTTTCATATGAGAGGAAGTGTGAAGCCATATGAGCCTGTGAGGAAAGCACTGCTCCGCTCCAGAGAAAAATTAATCTCAGGCAACTTTGCCTCAGCCAAAAAGAGACCAATAGAGATTGGTCTAAAAAGCTAAAGAAGTTCAACAGAATGGAGAGACAAAAGTGCTGATGGTCCAACTCTTCTAGTAAAACTAACATTAGGAAACAGAAACAGCCATTTACTGCACATAGCCTGTAATTAAAGTGGCAAACATGTGCTTCAAGGCTTGATTTGATGGCACACTTCAGAGACACCTTCTGCTGTCCACAACATGTTTTAACGTTAATCTGTCAAGCAGATGACACACAAAAGCTCATGTTAGAACCAAAAAACACTTCAGTAAATAGTTATAGCGGAGAGGTTTTGGGACTATATGCTCATTGACATTTTGCTGCGAGTTAGATAAAAGGATCAATATCTCATATCTGTCCATTACATAGGCACAGAGTTACAGCCAGGAGATGGTTAGGTCTGCCAATATGTGCCAGCACAATAAACATGTTATATCTCAATTTTCTAATCTTTACAAAAACTAAAAATGAAACTTTCTTATGGCTTTAGGGGTGCTATGTTCTGTGTTTAGTCCTTACTTTGCTGAGCTAATCGGCTGCTAGCTGCAGCTTCATATTTAGTGTACAGATATGAGTGGTATCGATCTTCTCGTCTAACTCTCAGCAGGAATTTCCAGCAAAAGTAACACACAGTAAAATTAAAATGTACTTTTCTTTTTGACAGTTGGTAGTGAAGGTGCTGTTAAATGACGGCAGCTCCAAAACCCTGATGGTTGACGAGAGGCAGAACGTCAGGGAGGTCCTGGAGAACCTGTTTGAGAAGACTCACTGTGACTGCAATGTGGACTGGAGCCTGTGTGAGACCAACCCTGAACTGCAGCTCGGTGAGTTAATGTGATTAATTCTACACAGTGCTATGACTGCATCGGAAATTGAAAGCAGTTTATAGATGATTAACAAACTAATAAGAGAAATATAAACAGTAAAACAATTTAAGACTAATGCACTCAAAAAATACTGACTGAGGAAAGTGAAATGATAAAACCAATAGAAGAGATAAAAGACAATAAAAGACAGTATATACATTTCAAAACAAGAATATGGTAAAATAAAAAATGATGTCTCGCTTCTCTCTGTATTGTGTTGGCTACCTGTTGTGAACCAAATTGCCCCTTGGGGACATTTCAATTCAATTCAATTCAATTCTGGTCCTTGTCAGCACTTGGGCAGAAAACTGTACCAGATTTAATACTTTTTTGGATAGACCAGAAAGGGGAACAGTGCAATAGTCTAGCCTGCTGGATATAAAAAGCATGCATTAGTCTCTCTTTATCCCACAGAGTGAGAAATGGTCGCACTATAGCTATGGTTTTCAGATGATAAAAAGTTGATTTGGTGACATTAAAGTTAAAGAAGATTCTCAAGGTTCTTGCCTATTGGTTCAGGCCAGTTTCTCTCTCTGAGCCGTACAATCTAATATTCTATGTGAGCAAATAAAGGTTTTGTAACTTCCAGGCACATATCTATATATAATAATACATCTAAGAATAGCATCTATAGTTCTTGTGTCGGAAGAAGGCGCAACCTTCAACAACATAAAGCTGTGTGTCATCAGCATAGCTATGGAGAGAAATGAATGTCTCCGAATGACATATACAGAGTTTGGGAAGATTGTGACAGACTGAGGAGCGTTTATAATCAATGATTAATCCCTCAACAACAATCATTGCATTTAATGTGTTGTCATTAGTTGATATAGCTCCACAGTCGTTCAATCTGTGATCATTTCGTGAGAGATTTGCTGCTTTTAACATCTTGTGACAGGTTAAGTGTTTGCAAGGGGAAATTAAAAATCCTTGGGCACACATTTTCAGTGGAAAAAATAAAAGATCTGGGATGCTAGAATAAGCAAAACTACCAAAATGTCCTAACCCTATCCAACAGAAAAGACAAAGAAAGAAATGTCATACTACCGGTGACACTGCTCTGTGATTTCTGGTAAATTTAGTGCAGAAACACAACAGAAATAGGTGCGAGCTGCACTGCAAATACATCAGCAGAACCAGAACAACACAGTGCAGTGGTAATGTAGACTCCCACTTTAACAGCATCAGTCTTCAGTGTGTTTTTAAATGAATTGTCAACAAACGACACATAATGTGCAGGGTGGGATATTTCATTCAGGTCCAGATGATGGACTGTGTTTTTATTGGCACGATGGCAGCCACACTGCAGCGAGCTCACAATGAAACATTGATCTTACTCCCATTCGTCTCTCTCTCCCTCCTCCTCTCTTTCTTATACTCGCACTGTCCCCCACTCTCTTACACACACACACACACATACAGTGTAGGCAGGTGGGTTTAATTTGCTGTATCGGACACTGTCAGTCATCCTCCCTGTCATGCGGAAATAGAAGCCTTATGATCTCAATCCTCCGTCTGAGCTGTCTGTGCTATATTTACTTCAGCTGCTGGACTCACAGATTCTCATTACCACCTGTTTTCTCTGTTTTCTAACAACTTCATCAGATTGTTATGGAGATAATTCATATTTTCATAGAGCCAATCTTGTGTATCATGAATAGGGAGTCATTTTACAGTCTCCTGAAACTGTTTTAATAACTTTACTGGTGGTAAAGTCATTAACTTCTGTGAGCAATACAATCTAAGTTAATATTATTTTGCTTGAAAATGATATTCAAGTAATTTTATATGCCACTAATTAAGCTGTGAAACACTAAATTAAAGGATAAGCCTTGGAGTTATTCCATATTTTTCTTATTTTCGACTAATTCCACTAGAAATCCAAAACCAAGAACATGTGTTAACCTTGCAAAACTTCCCCACCCTGTCTGTGGTTTATTCTACTGATTATATATATATATAATATTTATTGGGCATTTGGGTATTTTATTCTATTTAACTATTATTAATACATATTTGGCATGTAAGTATCTACAACAGCAGAATGGTGTTTGTGGAATTGACTCACAAAAAAATGCAGTGCCCATGTTCACTGTAATAAAGGAATAATATGACTCATTAATGTGTTTTTAATCGTTTTTGGACAACAGTAGTGCACAGAGGAATAATATGTATCAGGCTTTGGATACAGAGATCACCCAGTTTCTCAGGGAATTTGTTGGCAATACGAAAAATATAAAATATCTCCAGACTTTGTCACAGAGAACATTGACAGTAACCTTTTGGAACTGTAGCTGAGAAATGATAACAACTTCTTCCAGTAACTCAAAAACAAAAACATGAAGCAAGGGGTTTTTTTTTT